CAGTAATATGCATGCCATGGAAACTGTGTCTTACAGAGACAACACAGGGAACACGGAAGAGGGGACAGAAAGAAAGTTAAGTAATGTTGTACACATCACCTCTCAACAGCTGGAGTCACCTGCACAAGATGGAGGCAGTCAAAATTCCAGCAAGTAAGGGGGGAGGGAGGGGCCCTGAGGCCACACCCCTAACAGAGGAGCTATTGAAAATTGATGACTGTAGAGGGAAGGAGAGTCACTCTCCTTTGGGAACATGACTAACAGTAGGTTGCCCATGCCCCAGTGAATGGCCCCATGCCTATGCCCATACGTAGCACTACTTGGACTTGGGTTATTAATAAGAAAAATGAGAGAACATTAAGTCAGGAGAGAGACAGAATGCAGCAGGCCCTAGAGGGACTTGGAGGGACATAGTGGTGGATGACATGATCAAATGAAAATTTCAAAGAATAAATAAAATGTTATTTTTAACAGTCAAGAAGATAATTATTAAAACAATTTTAAAATGAAAATCTATGACTGAATATTTTTAATGATTTCCAGTGATCAAATGTCTGAATAATATTTGTCCTGGCTCAAGTTTAAGATAAAATTCAGTTTTAACAATGCTATCCTTGGGAGAGTGTTATTCTCATAATATAGTAGTGGCCTTAGCGCAAGATGGTGACTTTGTTAGTTGTTTTGAAAACTCCTGTTGTCAGGCCGGAGTTCACAATATGCCCTCCTGTATAATTTCCTTGCTTTATCTTATTTTCTAAGACTCCGGATGATTTCTACGCCTTTAATCCCAGCACTCGGGAGGCAGAGGCAGGCGGATCTCTGTGAGTTCGAGGCCAGCCTGGTCTACAAAGGGAGTTCCAGGACAGGCTCCAAAACTACAGAGAAACCCTGTCTCGAAAAACCAATAAATAAATAAATAAATAAATAAATAAATAAGTGAACAAATTCATTTAAATCAGGCAAGTCTGCACAGACACGACTTACGTGTCAGGAGCACTTTGAAAGATGGCTGATAATTTCAGTCCGCGTATGTTGAGCAGTGATGAATGGAGTATGAAGGAGCAGCTCATCCAAACCACCTTCTTCTCGAGCCCTCATACAGCGAGGATCTGCAGTGGTACATGGTGGTTTCTTAGACTTTAGATCTCCCAGCCCAGTGTCTTCCTCTACAGTTTACCACTGATTAGTCCCAGGGCAAGTAGGGAAAGCCATTGTGGGTGACTTGCTCTTGCAGAAGCCCTATTCTAATATGGATGTCCATTAACCCGAATACGTAAATGGGCATAAGGAAGCTTGTCCGGTTGCTCTGTGTCCCTTAGAGACTCTACCCTGACATGCTCTGCCAACATCTTAACACTTAAGTTATTTCCTTTGTTTTTTTTTCCCTCCAGCTTACCTAGTTATATGTAGGAATCTTTAGCGGGTTCCCCAATGAAAAAGCAATGATAGCAATGAATAGACACTTAGCTGTGTTCCCTACAGCCGAAATAACACAAGGAAATTAGACTTTAGGAGCATCTCTGAGATCTTGTGTGTGGCTTGTTAGAGTTCAGATTCACCAATCATTTCTGCAAAGCCACCCTAAGACAGGACGTCTACATCCAGGTGCTGGCAAGCTGTAGTTGTGGCTTTTCTACGTATGTCAAATTCCCTAGAGCCGCAGGTAGACATTTGGCTCAAAGTGGCTGTGACAATAATTTATCCTTATCTTTCATGCCCTGCTAAGAAGTCTTTATAAATGGGGTGCCAGAGCTGTTTGCCAATTTTTAAATGTCAGCTGGAAACTGGCTAGGGTAAGCAAGGAGTATGTATATGTTTGAGTGTGTGTGTTTTACAATTGGAAACAGTCTTTCTATCTAATTAAGAGGACCACATGTAGCATCCCTTGCAAACAGAGACAGACAGGACTGAAAAAACCATCTTGTATTTATTTTTTAAAATTTTGAACCCGTTTTCCTCCTCTTCCCCAGATCTTCCCATTACTACAAGGACAGACTTTGCTCCCAGGAAAAACTGGACTCGATGAGGAAAGAATTGTTTATTAGAGCACTCTTTAAGGCCCTGTTTTTCTTCCTTTGTAAAAGTAAGAGAGGAACATAAGCCCTTACCAGTCTTTGCAAAGTAGAACATGTCTAGACATTGATTCTGATACTAAGTTCTCATACTCAATAAAGGTCACACTGTGTCACAGAGAACTAAAGAACATCTCTTTTTAGACCTGAAGTCTCCAGCAATTTCACTGCAGGTAAAGCCAGTGGTCTTGGGGAAGACTCCAGAGTTTGTCTCAGATGGTGGAAGGCTGACTGGGCGCTGCTTCCCAGTCCTGCTTATCTGACTTAGTGAAGAAGACCCTGCTCTCTAGGTTCCTGCTTCCTCCTGTAGACTTTTCTAATGTCTAGCCATCACCACCTTATCATTGGCTGTTGAACTGGAAGTATGATTGTGCAAAAAAATGAAGAAGTTCTTTTTTTTTTTTTATGAGAGGTCTACCAGTTGGGTCACTGTCCTCATGAATCAAGCAAGGCACGTGATTGCTACTCATGATGATTTGGAAGGGATTTGCTCCAGAGTCCACTTCTGATTTTGAGACTGAGTTTCTTTGTGCCATTTGGCACGCGTTCTCACATTCAGGCTAGCACGAAAAACATTGGCTTGTGCTTGTATGTTATTCTATTTGGTCTTCCTTCGCAAACTAACACAGGCTTGATGGGAAGTAGGGCTGGATACAGACTATTAACTTCCCTTCTTTTGTTTATGGCTACTGATCATCCAAGCTCAAGTTGCCACTCTGGTTAATTTTCTTTCAAGTCTTCTTTAATCCTTTACAAGAGGATCCCTCTGTTCATTCTTTTATACATATGGTGAATTCACTACACACACTTGCCAGTGGTATCACATTGCATGTCCTAAATTCCTTCTATGATGTCATCAATCAGACTGAACTAACATCCACCATCATGACCTTATTTTACTCTCTAGTCTTTTAATTGGCCTATGTCTAAACTCCTCACAGCTGACGTTTACAGCTGGATGTAGGAAAAGACCTACATGAAGAAAACTTACCCGTCTCTTCACAACATTATATGTGGCTTGGGGACAACCTTCCTCTCAAGGTTACTCTACTCCATTGGCCACAGCTAAATGCAGGTCTCCAGGTAAATTCCTGGAGGTTGGACTTTAACTCTTGACTCAGCAAGGCTTTTCCAGACGGGAAACTACACTGGCAGGAACTACAGGTTTCAAGTTTCTGTCATCCAACCACAGCCTCTCCCATGAATCCAAAGGCTTTTAGCCATCTGACCCCCGATCCCTCCACATGGTGGTGACATAAGTGACATGTGGTACACTGTCACATCCTTCCTGGAGGTCTGGAAGACACAGCAGAAACCGGTAGGAAGGTTTGTGGGGGGGTACTTTGTTGAGGAAAGGTGGAGGAATTTCTAGGAGATGGAGGCTTCCCCAGCTCTCCCACAGTTAGGTCGTGTGTGTGTGTGTGTGTGTACATTTGGCATCATCGCACAACAGTCAACAGTATAGCTCCAAGGTCCCACTGGTTTTTGTCTTATGTGAAGTGGTCTAGGACCAGTCCCTTGGCCACACTGAGCCTCAGGACACACTAGTGAGAATCACAGAGTTATTCTTAGCACCACTGTCCTGCACAATAGACACTGGGCTTGGCAACTGCATGCTCTCAAGAAATATTTGGCAAAGGATTATAAGGACGGATAAAAATAGAAACGTTAAATTAATAGAAAGGGTGCAAGGGATAAGGTTCTAGCATATTTAAGAAGATGTGCAGTGTGCTCTGCATCTCTGCATCCTACTCCAGGGTATTTTCAGCACTTCCCAAACAAAAGGAAAAGCCAAATGCAGCTTTCCTTGCCACCATCAATTCTCCACTTCATCTTCACACCCTTATCAACAGTTAGAGAAAATAAGTCTTTAGACGACATGATAATCTTTAACTTGTGTTTTCCTCCCCAGAACTGATGTTGTCTGTATTTTCATCTTACTACCCAGTGATGCTCACAGCTGCCTTCAGTGAGGCTATGGCCATTGCTTAGCCAGCTATACCAGGCTGTATTAAGCTAAACAGTGCCCTAAGGCATCTGGCGGTCCTATGAAGGGGATCCCAGAAGCTCTCTTCCTTGGCACTTGTTAAAGGATCCTCTCCCAGGTGCACTCCCATAGAACATTCCCGTGTGTGGAGCTTTCACAGCCATGCCAGTCTCTCCCTGTCCTCTCGTCAGGTTTGGTAAAAGTATGCATGAATCCAAGGATGCTTAGGTGCTACAAGCCAAGGATTTTGGTGAAACAGAGTTCATGTACTGTAAGAACATTCTATCCCTAAATCTCAGCCCTGAAGCAAGTGAGTTCCCAACCTTGGTTGCATATGATCTCCTACAGGGACTCCTGTAAGTCTACGACACAACTAAGCTAGCCTTCTCTAAGGAGGTTCAAGGAAACTTGACCTTGATACCAAACACAAGAGCCCAAAACTCTAGGAAAGGAAGGCTGAGAGATGAGCTCTGATCTCCCTGATAAGCAACTGTGGGGTTCTGAAGGTCCTCTGAAGGTACTCCAAAATTTTTCAGCCTGTTATAGGCTCCCATCACCTATCTGCCCACTAAAGCTTTATGCCACCTAGAGGTCTTTGAGTTTGAGAACTCATGGACCCCTGAAGTGAAAGTGTTCTGGGGAGAGATGTTTATGTAAGAAGTTATGTGTGGGTTGTGGTTTTTGGTCATCTGTAATCTGAGATTTCAGATTGATTGTTTAGATAAAAGGGGGCCATCACTGGGTGGGTGAGTGCTCAGATAAAGCAGGGTAAACATTGGAAGAGGGGTGGTGGCACAGGGATCCCACGGAAAGCCCTGAGAGCCCTTTGGAAGAGGGAGAGGATTTCTGTTCTGCATTGTGTAACAGCTTTGTGGGCAAGAATCCCTGGCAGGTTCCCAGCATGTGGGCAGGGCTGTTCACTCCTCTTCCTTGCAGGTCAAATTCAGAAACTCCATTGACCTGGCAGGAGCCTGTCCCTGCACGATGTGTCTCCGTGCTCTGTGCTGGGTGTCTCTAGCAACCTGCGTGGTTTGGGGTGAGTACTTTTAAAATACAAATTTGTGGAGACATATTTGAAAATCCTTGCAGAGTTGTGTGTGCATAGAGCAAAACTAAGACAGACAGATTCGGTTCTGTGGGGGAAGTCGCTCTCCTGACTTGGGCTTGCCTTCAAGTGGCCCAGACCACAGCACAGGACATGCTGAGATCAGGAGAGGATAAAAACCCTGAGACCCAGCAACACACTCCAGGTACAGAAGTGTAAGGAGTCAATCCCAACAGGAGCACAGGAGCGGAATCAGCACAACTCCAATCAGGTGGAACAGGCTTCCTTACTTTGCCGGACTGCGGAGGGGATTAAGTCACTTCATTTCTCAGTTTCTTAAAGGAGAGGCTCCCCTTCATGTCTCTATATGTGGTGGGCCCTCCATGCTTATTTTATATTAATACATAAGTATTATACATATTAATACATAAGTATGGGATGTATTCATAGAAAACATGGGGTATGGTCAAAATAGCACACCAGGACCCAACAGCCATTGAAAAGACAGTCTGTTATTCATTGTTTCCAAGAGGAGCAGCATAGAAGAACTGGGGTGAGGGGCTCAGGAAATGCCAGATCAGTGAGGAGGCTCAAGGTTGGAGATCTGCAGCAAATGTCTCTTTTGTTAGCATTTCAAGGAATGCTGGAGAGCAGTACTGTCTTGGTTGTCTGATAACAGGTTCTGGATGATGAGGGCAGGTGGACTGTGGTCCATGCTATCAAATCTGGGTAAAGCAAGCAGTTAGAGTCGTGACTCTGTAGGGGACAGACCCTGAGAGTGACAGTGCCCGCAGGTCATGATGGCCTCATAAACATCAGACACACATTAAATTCATGGTTAATGTATGGCTATAGCATTGATTTTAACATATATCTGTGGCATTTTATTGGTCGAGAAAAGAGATTCACAGGGATGTGTGTTCTTCCAAGTTTGTCTGGAAAATCATGTCCTGAGCTGTCCCTAGCTCCTGAATTCAGAGTCAAGGCTCAACACTCAGTTCCCCAAAAGCCTCACCCTGTCTGGACCTGTGACAGTGAGAAAGGCCTGGAACTGAGTGTATAATAGTGATGAAGGACCCAGATATAGAGCAGAACATTCCTTTGCTGCTGGTTACCCTGGCAACACCACTCTTTCCATCTTCAGGAACTCCACACAGGGTATTTCCAACTTCCATGGGCAGACCAGTAGTTAACCTGGAAAGACTCTTGGTATGAATACCTCAAAGAAACAGGGATACACATCTGGTACACAGTAGTTATCACATCTGTGTGCAAGTTAGATGATGGAAGTTGTAACTGCTGTTGGTAATAGTCTTGTTTTCCCTGCCCCCTGCATGCCTGCACACGCTGCTCTGAGTGTTCTGGGTGAAAGTTCACAGCTAATTCAGCCACACTTGAGCATTTGTGATCAGATTTTGCCGTCTTGCCTCTGAAGCACTCATCCCTCTTTTCAACTCCTCTCCTCCGTCTCCTCCTCAGGTTTCCATGGTTCATGTCTTTCTCCTACCACCCCTCTGTTGGGGGTTCTTATTCAGCTAGAGCTCTGTTTGTAATCTTGGCTCTTTCTCTTGTTTCACACTCCTATGGTGGCGCCACACACACACACATGCTGCAGGTTCACTGTCTGGACAGAACAGTGTGCGTCCTTTCTGACCTCTCCATGTTGAGATGACCACACACACTGCCATCCTTCCTTGTTCATATTTGGCTCACTATGCAGTTCAGGCTGTACCTTAACAGGCTATGGAGCCCATGCTGGTCTAGAACTTAAGGTGATTCCACTGGCCCAGACTCCCAAGGTTTGGGGTCATCTGTGTACCTCAGGAGCCCTGGGTCACCTACCAGGATATCTCAGGGCCTTCCCACTGAACCCACAGGAAGGTGGTGTTGTGTACTCACCTAAAGCCTTCTTTCTTCCCTTTGCCCCATATCAGGGCAGGAAGCAAGTCCTCATGCCCCATGCTCATCCCCATGTCTCTGCATAGCAGTTTCTTACCGAGTATAAAAGAGACCTGAGTACAGTCAACAACTCTTCACACAAATGAAGAAGAAAAAGCAACATGTCGTGTTGCCATCTATGGGTCACCTCATATCCAGGTTTCCCAGGAAGTCTGTTTCAGCAGTGTGCTAAAAGTAGAAAGTTAAACAAAATAGAAATTATTAACAGCAATGACAAAAAGAGACAAGCATGTGATTGACTTCACAGGGTATCAGGCATGGCCCCAGACTTGCAACAGGTTTTTCCAAAAGGGTCTAGTGTTAATGGCTGTTCTCTAGAAAGCTCTTCTTAGACATAGGATGAGTTTGCAGTCTGATAATTTAAGGATATTAAAGCAAAACACACATCATTAATCAAATGTCATTATGTAAAAGTTGTGTGTCCCCCAGAATTTCATTTGCTTTTATTTATAATAATTAGCCATAGAAATAAAAACAACCAAATGCCCATATTATGGGCCTAGTTATTAAGATCATGTCTCATAGATGCTATCTTGTAAGCTTGACTCTTTATGGGAATAGTATCTATGAGACATGATGCCAAGACTTACTGATGTCAAGGTTATTTCAAAAAAAAAAATCTGGAAGTTTTTTTCTGACCACACCTTATTATTATAATATTAAAATTTACACAGTATTGATAATATTTTTACCCTTCCAAGCTCCTCTCTATTATTTCCCACCTTCTTACCCACCCAACTTTATGTTCTTTGTCTCTCTCAAAAACTGTTGAGGGAGGAATTAACAAACTCTCTGCAGAAGAAGAGTTAGGACCAAAAGGTGGAACTTAGGTGTTAAGAATGATGCTCTGACAGGTAGGCTATTACACAAACAAGAAGATGCCAGACTTGGTGGTGATGGAATTGTAAGGGCGTGGATGTCCTCCTGATGCTTAAAGGAGGGTCAGGGTCGTTCTCTCTGGTCCCACAGAGGGTACAAGGACAGAAGAGGAAGCTGCAGGGAGATGAGGAAAGATCATCTTCTATTCAAGAATGGAGCTGAAAGGTCAGGCAGGATATTGACCCAGTTTCTCTTCACCTTGGAGGACCCTACCCAGACAGACCAGCAGACTTTAGATCTTTGTGTTCGCAGTGTCATAGACACTTCAGACACTTCTTTGCCCACCATGTAAAATCTGGTAATTCAGTCAGGTGTTCAGTGTACTCCCCAAACACCGGACTCTCGGGATCATCTTCTCCCCATGGGCTCCACCTGGGCATCAACGGGCCATTCATCCTTAATGGCCAGGGTCCATGCTATGCTTTGTGGACCTCTTACTTCGCTTGCTGTGGAATCACTTTATCACTATCTCTAGCCTTCATTTTTTTCTTTTTTTTAAATTTTTTTTTATTGAGAAAAAGAAAAAAAATTCTGCCTCTTCCCAGCCTCCCATTTCCCTCCCCCTCCTCCCACCCTTCTCCCCTTCCCCCCACTTCCCCACTTCTCTCCCCTTCCCTCTCCAGTCCAAAGAGCAGTCAGGGTTCCCTGCCCTGTGGAAAGTCCAAGGTCCTCCCCACTCCGTCCGTGTCTAGGAAGATGAACATCCAAACTGGCTAGGCTCCCAAAAAGCCAGAACATGAAGTAGGATCAAAACCCCGTGCCATTGTCCTTGGCTTCTCATCAGCCCTCATTGTTCGTCACGCTCAGAGAGTCCGGTTTTATCCCATGCTTTTTCAGTCACAGTCCAGCTGGCCTTGGTGAGCTCCCAATAAATCAGCCCCACTTTCTCAGTGGGTGGGTGCACCCCTCGTGGTCTTGACTTCCTTGCTCATGTTCTCCCTCCTTCTGCTCCTCATTGGGACCTTGGGAACTCAGTCCGGTGCTCCCGTGTGGGTCTCTGTCTCTATCTCCATCCATCACCAGATGAAGGTTCTATGATGATATGCAAGATATTCGTCAGTATTGCTATAGGATAGGGTCATTTCAGGTTCCCTCTCCTCAGCTGCCCAAGGAACTAACTGGGGACATCGCCTTGGACTCCTGGGAGCCACTCTAGATTCAAGTCTCTTGCCAACCCTAAGGTGGCTCCCTTAACTAAGAATTGTGCTTCCGTGCTCCCCTATCCAACCTTCCTTTATCCCAATCATCCTGTTTCCCCAAGTTCCCCCCATCCTCCACTTCTCCCTTTTCTCTCCCCATCTCCCCTTACCCCCATCCCACCTCACCCCCAAGATCCCAATTTTTTCCCCGGCAATTTTGTCTACTTCCCATAGCCAGGAAGATAACTATATGTTTTTCTTTGGGTTCACCTTCTTATTTAGCTTCTTTAGGATCACCAATTATAGACTCCGTGACCTTTATTTATGGCTAGAAACCAATTATGAGTGAGTACATCTCATGTTCATCTTTTTGGGTCTGGGTTACCTCACTCAGGATAGTGTTTTCTATTTCCATCCATTTGCATGCAAAATTCGAGAAGTCATTGTTTTTTACCGCAGCATACTACTCTAATGTGTATATATTCCACACTTTCTTCATCCATTCTTCCATTGAAGGACATCTAGGTTGTTTCCAGGTTCTGGCTATTACAAACAATGCTGCTATGAACATAGTTGAGCATGTACTTTGTCATATGGTAGGGCATCTCTTGGGTATATTCCCAGGAGTGGTATTGCTGGGTCCAGGGGTAGGTTGATCCCGAATTTCCTGAGAAACTGCCACAAGTGGTTGCACAAGTTTGCATTCCCACCAGCAATGGATGAGGGTGTGGTACTGGCATAAAAACAGAGAAGTCAACCAATGGAATCGTATAGAAAACCCGGATTTTAACTCACAAACCTATGAACACCTCATTTTCGATAAAGGAGCTAAAAGTATACAATGGAAGAAAGAAAGCATCTTCAACAAATGGTGCTGGCACAACTGGATGTCAACCTGTAGAAGAATGAAAATAGACCCATATCTATCACCATGCACAAAACTCAAGTCCAAATGGATCAAAGACCTCAATATCAGTCCAAACACACTGAACCTGATAGAAGAGAAAGTGGGAAGTACCCTACAACAGATGGGCACAGGAGATCGCTTCCTAGGTATAACCCCAGCAGCACAGACATTAAGGGCAACATTGAATAAATGGGACCTACTAAAACTGAGAAGCTTCTGTAAAGCAAAGGACACTGTCACTAAGACAAAAAGGCAACCTACTGACTGGGAGAAGATCTTCACCAACCCTGCAACAGACAAAGGTCTGATCTCCAAAATATATAGAGAACTCAAGAAACTAGACTTTAAAATGCTAATTAACCCAATTAAAAAATGGGGCACTGAACTGAACAGAGAATTCTCAACAGAAGAAGTTCAAATGGCCAAAAGACACTTAAGGTCATGCTCAACCCCCTTAGCGATCAGGGAAATGCAAATCAAAACAACTTTGAGATATCATCTTACACCTGTCAGAATGGCTAAAATCAAAAACACCAATGATAGCCTTTGCTGGAGAGGTTGTGGAGGAAGGGGTACTCTCATCTTTTTTTTCTTTTTAATTTTTCAAGACTGGGTTTCTCTGAAGCTTTGGAACCTGTCCTGGAACTAATTCTTTTAGACCAGGTTGAACTCACAGAGATCCCCCCACCTCTGCCTCCCAAGTGCTGGAATTAAAAGCATGTGCCACCACCACCACCTGGTTCTCCATCACTCTTAATCATCCCTCCTCCTGCTGACTGTCTCAGAACCTCATGATACCATCATTCAGAAGACTTCACTTCCTCCAACTTCTCTGGCACCTGCCTAGCCCTTCTTTTGGTACACATTTCTTATCTCAGCATCAGGTGCAACACGTCTGTTTTCCACTACGGCCACCTTCCTGAGAGAGGAACCACTTGTTCTTCCTCTGGCCCAGCATGAAGCTCACACCAGAGTCCTGATAGATACAGGTTTCTCAAGGGAACCAAAGTTCTCTTTGGTCCTAGCAGTTCTTTTTCCACTGTGACTTTGCCTGGATTCTGTTCTACCTCATACTTCAGTTTGATTTTTGAATCAACCCTCTGAAATAAATGTTCTTCGTCTTAATTTCAGGTCAGAAGCAAATGAGCCCAGAAGTAATTAGGTGACTTATTCAAGGTCAAGTGCTTAGAAAATGGGAAAATCCACATGGAATCCAGGTCTGATCTTGTTGCTCTAATGTATCCTTTCTCTCCTCCATGTTCCACAGGGCACGCATCCTCACCACCCGTGGTGAACACTGTTCATGGGAAAGTTCTGGGGAAATATGTCAGCTTAGAAGGATTCACACAGTCTGTGGCTGTCTTCCTGGGAGTTCCCTTTGCCAAGCCTCCTCTTGGATCCCTGAGGTTTGCTCCACCACAACCTGCAGAACCTTGGAGCTTTGTGAAGAATGCCACCTCCTACCCTCCTATGTAAGTCGCTGGGGAGGGCCTGGACCTTGTTCAACAGAGGCATCTGTCATAGAAAGATACAAGAGGGGGTCATTCACTGGTCCAATAGCCTCCTGGAGTCCTCCAGAGTACTTTAGAAACACTACAGACCTTTCACTGCTTTCTAGACTCCTCTGTTCAGCACCCTCTCTAAACCGATGCTATAAACAGAAGTGGGCATAAGAGGTACTAATCTAAAGCGTAAATGAGTTAGTGAGTATATGAGAAAAATCAAAACCAGTGTCTGAGACTCCAGGGAGACTCAATAATTCCCACCAATTCTATTTCTATCCTACATTGGTCCTTCATGATCTCTTATTAGAGAAGTCAACAGTTATTATTTCATAAAAGGATGACGGAGGTCATTAGAGACAACATTGGCTCTATTTGAACCTCGAAGATGTGTGCTCAGAGAAGAAAAGGTACTCAGTCAACATTGTCCAGCATTGGTGACTGACTATTCGAGTACAGGTCATTGAGGTCATCCCATAAAGACATCAGCCATAACTTGCAATAGGCAATAGGCTAAACAGTTATTAGTGGTAGTTCCTAGATTCACAGAAGTCTCAATAGGACTAGAAGAAGGTTACCTGGTGAAAGATCAAGGTCACCTTCAGCCCATTGCACTAGACCTAGGCATTGAGAAGACACTGGTTAGATTTTCATATTCCAGGTAGATCAGACTATGAACAACATCTCTCCATTGCCCATAGTGCCCCCAAAGGCTCTAGGAAGGGGAGAGATGCCAAGTGTTTCTTCCTCTTTTGGGTTGGGGTGCTGTGGATTCCCACCATTTTCCCATGAAACCCCTCTTATTAATTATCCCAAGTTCCAGTCCTGTGAAAACAACTCTATTCACAAGCTCAAATATTCTGGTGCAGGTGACATTTCCAGCTTCTATATGTTGTAATTTCAGGTGTCCACTCTCTCCTCCAGGTGCTCCCAAGATGCAGTCAAAGGGCAGAGGGTCAATGACCTCATCACCAACAGAGAGGAGAAAATTCATCTTGAGTTTTCCGAAGACTGTCTCTACCTGAATATTTACACTCCTGCCGATTTGACAAAGAGCAGCAGGCTGCCGGTAAGCACGGGAATCACTGGTCTAGTCCTTTGTGCTAACATCATCCAAGTCTTCAGTGGGACTGGAAAGGGATTAAGGCCACTAGATGCACAGGTAGACAAGCCAGGACTGGGTCAGGGACCAGGAGCTTCCTTTCGCCACAGAAAATGTAAATGTTTCTTTCAAAGACCCCGATTTTGGTGGGATCGCTATACATCTGGAATGTGCAGCTGAAGGTTTTCACGTTCTCTTACACAAATACAAGTTTTTCAAAATGATTACTCTTAGATTTTAGCTTAAAAAATCTGGTCTCCAGAGCAGTTAGGACACAATTTACAACAATGTTAGTACCAGAAGAAATCTTAGAGAAAACAAACAGCCCAAGTCTTCCTGTACAGGTAAAGAAACTGAGGGTCAGGTAGGGAAGAGAGGGCACCCAGAAGGAATGGCAGGACAAGAGCTTGGGTTTCCATCTTCAAGCTTGTGCCCCTACTCAAGGCCTGGCAAGGGAGATGTGTGCTGCCTTTCTCCTCGTATTACCTGTGCCAACTTCCACTGCCAGGTGAAAGCGCTCATGGCCCATGATGGCAGTGTGGAGGGAGAACTCTGGGGCAATCTCATAGGCGCTTTTCATGCCCTTTGCCAACCACCTGTGATTTTACTGAAGCTCCCTCCCCTCCCTGGTTGCCCTTGGCACATGCTGACTGCCTAGTGAGTCAGCATTTCCCATTGGAATGAAGAAGCAGGGGTGGGGCAGGCTGCCCGTGACAGACCACACACAGTCTTGGAGCTGTAAAGACATGACCCTTGAACCCTTGAAGTCGAATAAGGTAGGGTATGAGCACCCACCCAGTCCCCTGGGAGCACCTGGGATGGAACTCAGAAGGGAAGGAGGACACCAGAATAGTATTTGACCCTAAACCTGTTTGCACAAGGAGGTAAGAACAAATCTCACCCCCACCCATTTATTCAGCTTCTTTTTTGGACTCTTTGTCTACACAGTCAGACTTAGGGTTAGGAGAAGCGAAGACAGGAGTCATTATGTGTAGTGAAAATGCAAGCAGGCCTGCTTTTCATACCACCCGGCTTCCACACGGCTAGCTTTACACCCGAAATAACAACACACAAATTATATTCATTCAAACACTGCCTGGACTCTAGTCTCTTACTGGCTAACTCTCACATCTTGATTAACCCATTTTTATTAATGTGTATCGCCACTTGACTATTACTTACCAGCATGAGTCTAACCACTGTCCGTCTTGGACATGCTTGGAGAAGCATGGCATCTGCCTAACTCTGCTTTCTTCCTCCCAGAATTCTGTTCAGTCTCCTCTACCCACATAAGGGCTAGCCTATCAAAAGGCCAGTGCAGTTTCTTTATTAACCAATGAAAGTAACACATAGACAGATGACCTTCCTACTTCAATTATGCATAGTCTTGCCTTCAAATATCTTGTCATCTGGTTGCACAGACACCTCAGATAACAGCTTCAACACATGATTGACTACCCTGTGGGCTCAGTCTTCAAGATGAGCTTGACTCTGACCCTCCATGTAGGTGGTAGAGACCCCAAGGGGAGGAGAAACAGAAACTCATAGAGCTTGGAAAGCAAGGGACTGTCCAGCTATGCATGCAGGCCCCAGAGGCACATAGATTCCACCCGATAAAGAGCAGGAATCACTTGCCTTCCTAGCTTCTTTTTTCCCCTCACATGTTGTAAACAGGTCCATGGTGGCTGCTGAGCTGTGCCTGAGTCTTAGTGGAGGACACAGCAGCACCGACACTAGTCAGAGCTGTGGGAGGACTGGCTACTGGCCCAGATCACCAAACTGTGCCCGTGACTGCATTGGTTAGGAGCTCAACTGTGAGCTCTGGTCAGATGGCTGCTCAAGTCCTACTTCCACTTTCATTAGCGGTGGGACCCCAGCAGAGGTGCCTCAGTTTTTCTATCCATCAAATGGGATAATCTTCATTTTTTTTATAACTTTACTCAGATTATCCTTGCCTTCTCTTTCCTGTTTATTAGCAGTGTTGTATAAGGTTTCAACTTTCTTTTCTCCCAGTTCTTTGAAATGTGAGCTCCTTAAATCCTGAAGCCTTAAATTAACAGTTATTGTATTCCTCCTCAGCCTCAAGCCTGATGAAAGAACCTACTGTAGAGTAGGTGCTCTTAATAGTAAGATGGCTGAGGACTAGATGGAGAGGGGAGATGTAAATGGGTTAGCAAGATGGAGAGGATTGTGCTGGAAAGGGTACCAACCAGAGGCCTGGAGATGAACATATAGGCACATTACAGTTAATAGAGATGATGCTAAAAGACTAAGCTGCCTGAATGGACCATGTATCAGGATGTGAGCATGCTGGGGAAAAGATGACATCATTGTTCCCTCTTGTTCCCATAACGAAGCTCTCAGTTAGAGGAGCCCCGGGGAGACTTGGCACAGAGGTCTAAAGAGAAAGGTAGGGGCCTTGAATGAGGTGACATTCTGATTTCTAGCCTGGTAAGTGGAGGAAGATGTACAATTTCTGCAGCCCAGCTGGTGAATTTTGAGTGGTGATGCCCTGAATCAGGACCAGGCCATGCAAACCAAACCAAACATCTTCTGAGCTCCTTCCCAGCTCTATTTCCTATGACAAGTGTGGTTCTTTCCTTGCTACCTAGGTGATGGTGTGGATCCACGGAGGTGGACTGACATTGGGTGGGGCGTCCACCTATGATGGACTGGCCCTCTCTGCACATGAAAATGTGGTAGTGGTAACCATTCAGTACCGCCTGAGCATCTGGGGATTCTTCAGGTAGGATGTGTGGACACTCCTCTCTGCATGTTGGCTTCTGTATTGATCAGCTCTACAGCAGTGAATTTGAAATCTGTCAGTGTCGAGGACCTCAGATTTGTTTAACTCAGTGTTTGGGTGGCTGGAAACCAAAGACTGAATTATCAGACTTTGGTGTAGCGAGGGGCCCTAAGCTACAATGCATCATGGAGGAAGAATAGATATTGAGTCTGTGGGATAAAGAGACAGCGATACGGCAAGTCAGAGAAAGTGGGAAGACAGTCTTGCTCTTTTGGGAACAACTCGCTTTCTCAGGATACAGCATGATTCCCTTGAGCACACATCCCCGAGAAATAAAGTACCCAATGACAGACCCTACCCTCTACAAATTCTCCCACTGGCTATACCTGGACGTTAGGTACTGAAGCCCCCTTTTCTTGTGAAAAAAAAACCATATCCAAACCATCAAATCTGCAGAATTAAAGGAGCGAGGACCCAGTTTTAGTAATGGTATCCTTCACAGGACGTTTGATAAAATTTTCCATGTTGGGGGTCCAGTCTACCTTTACATTCCTCAGCCACACTCCTCTTGCTTCTGGGATCTTCCTAGATTCCTGCTCTATGAGACCAAGTCCTACTGACTCTGAAAAGCCCAGGCTTCGTGTTGCTGCCTTTGAAATGGCCACCTGTATTTCATCAGTACTCAGCATTTCTTTGTGACAGCAATCAGCACTACAGGACAGCACTTGAAAGTTAGACATTTCTGCACAGGGAAGTAGGGAAGGGGTGGGTTCATGGAGGGCTCTCAGCCTAGAAGCTAACTGCAACCTTACCAGTGCTCATTCCAACCTTATATAGCTCCTAAGACTATAATAGCAACAATGAGATGCTCCCGTGCCCCGCCCCTCCCCACTGCCCAGTACATTCCTTCTCTGCCTCTCTTCTCTGTTCTCAGTAACTGTGTGCTTTCTTCTCCCTCTCTATAAACATCCTGAGTGCTTCCAACAAGTCTTCTACACTATCCGTAATCCCCAATCCCACCTTTAAATCCTACACAGTCCTTTTACCTGCCTCCTGGTCTTCTGTATTCATGCATAGGGTTCTCCCGCTTAACAGGGAGAAACTTGGCCTGTCCCGCGCTACCGTCTCGCCAGCAAGAACGACGCGGCACACTCAGGATCCTTCTGCAGAAAAGCTTTAATGCATCTTGAGAGGGAGAGCATAAGCTTACAGAGCGGAGACCCCAGGGGAAGAAAACCCAGCCCTTAAATAGGTTAATGGTCCTCGCCTAGGACGTGTCATTCCCTGACTGGCTGCAGCTCGTCAGCCCTTATGACACCACGGGAGAGGCAGTTTATCGGTTTGGCGCTACCGGATGCAGGCGTTATTCTGTAATGGAGTACGTGGCTCCCCACATTGGCCCTTGGCACCCACCGAGCATTCCTTCAACAAAGGTCCTCATCCGTTTCCCTCAGGACCCTACACAGCTGCCGACTGCTCCAAGCACCCATTTGCTCACAACACAGGCCTTGCATACATCCCAGATTCTCCTCTTTTGGCTCACAACCTTTTTCCATTCAGACAAGAGATCCTCGTGACTCTATCTTTAAAATATGCTCAGAATCCTGCGGCTCTGAATCCACGTTTTCCACCCCTTTCAAAGCCCTGTTTCTGAGGGATGCATTAATGTTAGAACCAATATTTTAAACAAACTTGCAACTTTACATGGAGGCTGCTGCATATTGTGGCCAGAACACTTGGGGAGCGACTGGGCCATGCCATGCCTTTGCGTAATACTGCCATGGATTCTAAAGGCATAGAAGCCTTGCCAAGGCTCACAACAGTGGCTCTGCTTGCGTCTCACGGAAGCTGCATGCATATTTTTGTTCCCACAGCCCCAAGGCCTTCACACCTGCAGCTCATCTTAATTGAAACTCTTCTTTGGGTATTTACAAAGCCCTGGTGCTCATTTTACTTAGGTCTCTATCAAATGCCACCACCTCAAAGAGAGCGTCTCTGGTTGTGAGTCTAAAGCATATCCCAGACCTACCTTTGTTTCTTTCTTTACCTGATTTTCTTTTCCCCATTGCTGACATTATATTGTCATTTTATCTGTTAATTTATGCTCTGTCCTGTGAGCTGAGTGTTGCCGTATTTTTTTGTTTTGTTTTGAGATGTGCCGTAGCACTCACTCCAGATTTAGATGCATATTGAACCCTTAGTACAAAGTTAGTTGTTGGAATAGTGAATGAGAGCCTTGCACAGGGGAAGATTCCTGTCAGGGGTGCCAAGTTCATCAGGATTCTGAAAAACTGCAAAAGACTCCCCAATACATCTGTGGTCCTAAGATCCCTGCCACGCAATATGTACTTTCTCTGTCTCTTGCAGCACAGGGGATGAACACAGCCGGGGGAACTGGGGTCATTTGGACCAGGTTTCTGCACTGCGCTGGGTTCAAGACAACATTGCCAACTTTGGAGGGGACCCAGACTCTGTGACCATCTTTGGAGAGTCAGCAGGAGGTTTCAGTGTCTCTGTTCTTGTAAGTGTCCCCAGCACCAGGCCTTGTGTACAGGCTTGCTGATGTGACTGCTAATGGAACCTCTTAAAGGTCAGCTGTTTGCTTTCAAAACCCAAAACCTGTACTCAGTGTCCATTTTACCCACGACACAATATTTTTTATGAATAACTACGGATATTTATTTAATTTATATATATATATATATATATAAATTTCTGCCTCCTCCCCGCCTCCCTTTTCCCTCCCCCTCCCCCTCCCCCCACTCCCCACACCCCACTCCCTTCCCCCTCCCTTTCCAGTCCAAAGAGCAGTCAGGGTTCCCTGCCCTGTGGGCAGTTCAAGGTCCTCCCCACTCCATCCAGGACTAGGAAGGTGAGCATCCAAACAGGCTATGCTCCCACAAAGCCAGTACATGCAGTAGGATCAAAACTCAGTGCCATTGTCCTTAGCTTCTCAGCAGCCCTCATTGTCCACCATATTCAGAGAGTCCGGTTTTATTCAACGCATTTTCAGTCCCAGTCCAGCTGGCCTTGGTGAACTCCCAATAGATCAGCCCCACCATCTCAGTGGGTGGGTGCCCCCCTTGCGGTCTTGACTTTCTTGCTCATTTTCTCCCTCCTTCTGTTCTTCATTTGGACCTTGGGAGCTCAGTCCATTGCTCCAATGTTGGTCTCTGTCTCTATCTCCATCCATCGCCAGATGAAGGTTCCATGGTGATATGCAAAATATTCATTAGTGTGGCTATAGGATCGGGCCATTTCAGGCTCTCTCTCCTCAGCTGCCCAAGGACCTATTTGGGTACATCTCTCTGGACCCCTGGGATCATGACACAATATTGATGGTCAGTGGCTGACAACCAAACTAACAGTATTTAGTTCCCAGGAAGCTCAGAATTTAACTTGGTGTCCCAGAGCCATAGGTATCTCCAGTTCTAGCTCAGATCAGTGACAGCCGCAGCCTCTTCACTTCGTTGAGTTCTTTTCCCCTTTATCAAGCACCTTTTCAAGTATTTAAAGCATGTTTATTTAAAAAACAGGTTGAGTCTCATTTTGCAAGAAGGCTTTGGCCTTGTCATGTTTCTGTTATTAGTTATTTGAGAATTTCTTGCAATGTATTTTGATGCTGTTCACTCTTATCCCATTTTCTGCCATATCCACCTGCTCCTCCCTCCCCATATACCTTTGTGCCTCTTTTGGTTTTAAATTCATCAAATATAATTGATGTTGTCCATATACTCGTGGGTGTGTGGCCTTCACTGGAGAGTGATCTACCCACCGGGGCCACACTATTGCAGAACACTGACTCCCCTTCTCTTAGCTACTATCAACAGCCAATGGCTCCTTAGTCATGGCTGGAGCTTGTCTTGCTTCTGCTGGGAAATCAGGTTGATTATAAACTGCAGATAAGAAAAAGCAGTTGTTTGGATCCGAGGTAGATGTGCATGTCAGGGGTCTTCAGTGTGTACAACAGGCAGGATCCTCTCTGAAATGGCCTCACAGTTTGTCCATGACTACTAGGGCAGTAGGAGAATCTGGGGCTGAGAAGGTGAGTTCTGTTGCGGACAGTCAGTGAGAGGAAGGATGTGTAAAAGGGAGAGAGGCAAGAATGTGGGAAACAGCCAAAATGATTTGTAAAATTAAATAAAAATCGCTTATATGGAAAATAGAAGTTAAGGAGAAGGTATAGAAAGTTCTGGAAGCTATATGAAACTCTCAGAGTTGAGCAGAATATCAGCATAGTTACTGCATTTCATTTTACACGCACACACACACACACACACACACACACACACACACATTGAACAAAAGAAAAATGGCAAATGAATATTAAGCGGGGGAGGAATGTCATCCATAGCCCTGTGAACCTTATATGGTCACAAAAGGTATCTTTTCACGTCTATCTCTTGTTGTTTCCTCAATGTCATGTCCCTTTTCTCTCTATCTGCCTATCTACTTATCTATCATTTATTTATCATGATTCCATGCATCTTCTGACTCTTACAGTCTTATGCTGTTTTTACAATGAAACTATCCTTTAAAATGCAATATGGCATAAATATATCTCCCCAAACACTAAACACATATATAGCATTATCATTCACAATCGCACAAAGTTCCATGGTTAAGTCATGAATTGACTAATGCTAGGGCCTTGAAGTGTTTACTTTTGTTTCCATTATAAACAAGAGACTATTAAGTATGTGTCTGTGTACTTCCCTCTTTTCCTTCCATCGTTCATCTTAGCTCGGCCCATAGGTAGTTCTCCTGCCGACGTGCATCCTCAGTCCTTCTTTTACCCTTACATGGTACTTTTCTGCATGAGTTCAGAATGAAAAACCTTCTCAAACAGAACCGTGGCTAGGAACTGGCGCAGTGCCTTTCACGAGCTCTCGTATTGCCGTAGGCACTAGCCACACACTTCCTCTGCTGGTCCTTACTCCACATCCTGGTTCTACTCCACTGAGTTTCTTTTGTGGAATCTCAGGCCTGAGAACAGTCTCAGAGATGGAATAGACAGATTGGTGGCTGTCATGCCTACCGAGTGCCAGAGTCTTCAAGAGTGACCAGGGAAGGGGAGCATTCAGAGGGCATATGAGTCAGTCCACCCCTCCTCTGAGTGTAAACTCTCCTCTTCTCTCCATGGCAGGTGTTGTCTCCCTTGGCCAAGAACCTCTTCCACAGGGCCATTTCTGAGAGTGGTGTGGTTATCACTCCCGGTTTGTTTACCACAGATGTCAGGACAATCACTGAGGTAGGTCCCAGAAAATCGCCACACTCTTTCCTGGAGTCCTCAGGGGTCTTTCTGGCTGTGGGATTGAGCTATGTGCTCAAGTGATTTCTGAAATAAGAATGGCTAGACAGAGATCACTTCTAGGGCTCCGTCTAAACCACATTCAGCAGGTTCTGAAGCTTCTCCCTGTGGTTCATGTTATTCAGATGCCCTGCAATTCTGCATGGGTTGTGTGGGAAGACAGGGTGGCCTTCTGCAGCATGCCACATACACAAGCTCTCCTGATGTAGCAGGCACTGGAAACTAGAGGCCAAACGGCCAGTAAATGGAGGAAGTCGATGGGAAATAGACAGTGGAATCATAGATTCCTTGCCTTCTTTCCACTGCACCTGGCTTCTCTGAAGATAAATACACTTCTCCAACACTGTGACTATTTTAAAAGTCAAGGTAACAGACTCAGATGCATTCATGCCAACCATTACAAAAAACGACAGGGGCAACAAATTTTTGGCTTTAGAGCCCAAGTCTGCTGCTCTAGAGTTTTTCATGATCACTTGTCTGTCTTTAGAAGTGGGGCTTAGGATAGAACCCACTCTCTATACTAATGCTGGATACTGATGTTGCTCTTGACCTCTGCAATGGCCTGATATCTCTTACAGAAAGTTGCTCTCATGTCTGGGTGCAAAACCACCACATCTGCTGTCCTTGTTCACTGCCTGCGCCAGAAGACGGAGGACGAGCTCTTGGAGGTCATGCAGAAAATGGTGGGTGTGTTTGCCAAGGGTCTGAATTCCAGGTGCTTGGTTCTAGGATTCATTTATTCAGCTGTTCTTTATCCCCAAACTACTTGGCATAGTTTTTCATGCCTTGAGAGTTACTACTTGGGATCAGCCACCAAAGCAATTCAAAGTACTCTTTTTATTATTAGAATATTTTAGATAAGATAATCCAGTAACAATCAGGCAAAAAATTTTTAAATGTTCTCCCAGTTCTTTCTAAATTTAATATTTTGCCATTGTTTTCAGTTGTGTTTTGATAAATTAAACATCCCATATTTCCAAAAGTTATCTTGAATTTTGAGAATGGGGTTATTAAGCAAAAGTTTTCAGAAAATATCACTGTTTATCTTGGAAGATTAAGACCAGATAAGTAAATTAAATAGACCTATAACCGATAAAGAAATAGAAACAGTGACCAAAAGTCTCCCAACCAAAGAAAGCCCAAGACCAGATGGTTTCAGCACAGACTTCTACAAGATTTTCAAAGAAGAACTAATACCAATACTCCTCAAATTTTTTCACACAATAAAAATAGAAAGAACATTGCCAAACTCTTTTTACAAGGCTACAATTACCCTGATACTCAAACCACATAAAGACATTACTAAGAAAGATAATTACAGACCAATCTCCCTTATGAACATTGATGCAAAAATACTCAATAAAATATTGGCAAACTCACCCCAAGAACACATTAAAAAATTATATACCATGGCCAAGTAGGCTTCATTCCAAAGATGCAGGGATGGATAATTCAACATATGAAAATCTGTCAATGTAATCAACCATATAAACAAACTGGAAAAAAACATATGATCTTCTCATTAGATACTGAAAAAGCTTTCAACAAAATACAACATCCCTTCATGATAAAAGTCTTAGAGAGAAAAGGGATACAAGGAACATGCCTAAACATAATAAAGGCAATATACAACAAACCAACAGCCAGCATCAAACTAAATGGAGAGAAATTCAAAGTGATCCCACTGAAATTAAGAACAAGACAAGGTTGTCCACTCTCTCCTTATCTGTTCAATATAGTACTTAAGGTTCTAGCTACAACAATAAGACAACAAAAGGAGATCAAGAGGGATACAAATCAGAAAAGAAAAAGTCAAACTCTCACTATTTACTTATGATATTATAGCTTACATGAATGACCCCAAAAAACTCTTCCAAGGAAATTCTACAACTCATAAACGTTTTCAGTAAATTGGCAAGATACAATATTAACACAAAAATCAGTAGCACTCCTATATACAGATGAGAAAGAAGATGAGAAAGAAATCAGAGAAACATCACCCTCTCAATAGCCAGAAATAACATAAAATGTCTAACCAAACAAATGGAAGACCTGTATGACAAGAACTTTAAGTCTTTGAAGAAAGAAATTGAAGAAGACACCAGAAAATGGAAAGCATGCTCGTGGGTAGGTAGAATTAACGAGGTAAAAAGGGCAGTCTTACCAAAAGCAATCTACAGATTCAATGCAATGCCCATCAAAATCCCAGCAAAACTCTACACAGACTTCAAATGATCAATACTCAACTTCATATGGAAAAATCAAAGAACCCAGGATAGTCAAATAATCCTGCACAATAAGGGAACTTCTGGAGGCATCACAATCCCTGACTTCAAACTCTACAGAGCTACAGTACTGAACACAAAACTTAAGTTTAAATGGATCAAAGATCTCAACATAAAATCAACCACACTGAACCTCATAGAAGAGAAAGTGGGAAGCACACTTGAACACATTGGCATAGGAGACCACTTCCTAAATATAACCCTAGTACCACAGACACTGAGAAAAACAATAAATGGGACCTCCTGAAACTGAGACACTTCTGTAAAGCAAAGGACCCAGTCAATAAGACAGGGGGCTGATCTTCAAAATATACAAAGAATTCAAGAAATTGATCATCAAAAAACAAATAATCCAATAAAAAATTGAGTACAGACATAAGCAGACCTCTCAACAAATGAACCTAAAATGTCTGAAAGACACTTAAGAAATGCTCAAAATCCTTAGCCATCAGAAAAATGCAAATCAAAGCGACTCTGAGATTCCATCTTACATATGTAAGAATGGCCAAGATCAAAAACATTGATGACAGCTTATACTGGAGAGGATGTAGGGTAAAGGGAACACTCCTGCATTGCTCATTGGAGTGAGACCTGATACAGCCACTTTGGATATCAGTATGGTGATTTTTCAGAAAATTAGGAAACAACTACCTCAAGAAGTAGCAATAACACTTTTGGGTATATTCCCAAAAGATTCTCAATCATGTTCATAGTTCATCTCAACTATGTTCATGGAAGCATTATTTGTCATAATCAGAACCTGGAAACAACCTAAATGCCCCTTGACCGCAATGGAGTACTACATCAGAGAAAAAAATGACATCTTGAAATAGCATATGTACTCTCTCATAAGTGGTTTTTAGACATAAAGCAAAGAAAAAAAAACAGCCTACAGTTCATGACCCCAGAGAACCTAAAAACAAAGAGGACCCTAAGAAAGACATATATGGATCTAATCTATATGGGAAGCAAAAAAAGACAAGATCTCCTGAGTAAATTGGGAGTATGAGGATCATGAGAGAGGGTAGAAGGGGAAGTGGGGAAGGGAGGGGAGCAGGGAAGAATATATAGCTCAATAAAAACAATAAAAGGGAAATAATAATCCCTATATCAAAGAAAAGGCTTGCAGAATTTTTGCAGAAAATAAAACTAATACTGATGGTGATAAATATTTAAAAATTCTATCCAAAGGAGAATAGCACTCTCCCAATTTTTCAAATTTCAAAAGTTATGTTCTATGTATAATCAAGCCTCTGTCTGTTCATTCATCATCCATCCATTTATACATACATACACTATTCAATTCATTTAAATAATTCAATCTATAATCAACCTACATCTAACTGTTTATGTATCTATTGCAATCTGTTCACTATCCATCAGTCATCCAACCAACATGTATCCACATTTTTATCTAGTCCTCCCAGAGCAATTATCTGTCCATCTCTTCTCTGCTAGTTTTACAGTTTTCTCCATGTTTCCATCTGAATAAATAGTGAATATATTGAACCATTCCATCTTTCTATTTCTTTACACAGCTAGCCTTCCAGGACAACTAGGAAGATTAGAGTCAGAGTAGGTCATATGAACATAAATTGAGCATTTTCTTTGCTTGCAAGAATAATCTAAGGAGAAATACAGCCATGTGTTTATTTGGATCTGTGTTGTGGGAACAGAGAGTGGAAGAACACTCACAGCCAGCAAGTTGATATTCCTCAGAGAGAATGATATTTGTGAGGTATCACCATTATCAATATTATTATTATTATTTATTATTGTCAGCAGCCACGTAGGGGTACAGCCCCCAGCAGGCTGTCAGCAAGTCAGAGAAACTGAAGGGGAGATGTGGATAGGCATACTACTGGGACAGATGCACAGACACACACGGGGGCTTTATCTCAAAGCCAAAGCTTAATTCTTTATTTTAATTTCTCTTTGTCACTGTTCTTCCGACTCTGTTCCTCTTCTGTTCTGCTTTTTTACCTGATTGTTTCCCCTTTTCTTTTCCTTTCCAGTTGTTTCCCTTTCTACATTTTTCCTGAGCTCATCCTTTTATTTTATTTTTGATATTTTCCTCTACATCTTTCCTTTTCCTATGTCTCTTATTTTTTTCTAATCCCTTTTATAACTCCAAATACAAAGATTTCTATGCAAGAAAAGATTACTTTGCAGCTGTAAGTTACATATTTTCTGAAAACAAAATATTTTCATAAGAAAAAATCATATTAAGATCACAATGTTCAGTGTGGCTGGCTTTATGTTGAGGTCTTTGATCCATTTAAACTTGAATTTTCTGCATGGTGATAGATATGGGTCTATTTTCATTCTTCTACATGTTGATATCCAGTTATGCCAGTACTATTTGTTAATATGCTTTCTTTTTCCCATTTTATTTTATTTTATTTTGCTTCTTTGTCAAAAATCAAATGCTCAAAGGTGTGTGGATTAATATCTGGGTCTTCAATTCGGTTCCATTGGTCCTCCTGTCTGTTTTTATGCCAATACCAGGCTGTTTTCAGCACTGTAGCTTTGTAGTACAGTTTGAAGTCAGGGATTGTGATGCCTCCAGAAGTTCTTTTATTGCACAGGATTGTTTTGGCTATACTGGGGTTTTTTTCTCTTCCATATGAAATTGAGTACCATTCTTTTTCTGTCTGTGAAGAATTTTGTCGGACATTGCATTGAATCTGTAGATTGCTTTTGGTAAGATTGCCATTTTAACTATGTTAATTCTACCTACCCAAGAGCATGAGAGATCTTTCCACTTTCTGGTGTCTTCTTCAATTTCTTTCTTCAGAGATTTAATGTTCTTGGCATACAAGTCTTCCACTTGTTTGGTTAGAGTTACCCCGAGATATTTTATGCTATTTGTGGTTATTGTGAAGGTTGGTGTTTCTCTGATTTCTTTCTCAGCCCATGTATCATCTGTTTACAAGAAGGCTACTGATTTTTTTAGTTAATCTTGTATCCTGCTACATTACTGAAAGTGTTTATGAGTTGTAGAAGTTCCTTGGTAGAATTTTTGGGGTCGCTTATGTAAACTATCATATCATCAGCAAACAGTGAGAGTTTGACTTCTTCTTTTCCAATTTGTATCCTCTTGGTCTCCTTTTGGTGTCTTATTGCTCTAGCTAGGACCTCAAGAACCATATTGAATAGATAATGAGAGAGTGGACAACCTTGTCTTATTCCTAATTTTAGTGGGATCACTGGGAGATTCCTCTCCATTTAGTTTGATGTTGGCTGTTGGCTTGCTATATATTGCCTTTATTATGTTTAAGTATGTTCTTTTATTCCTGCTCAGAAAGACAATTATCATATGTATTCACTCATAATTGGTTTTTAGCTATAAAGCAAAGAAAACCAGCCCACAAATCACCCAGAGAACCTAGACAACAATGAGGACCCTAAGAGAGACTTAGATAGATCTAATATACATGGGAAGTAGAAAAAGACAAGATCTCCTGAGTAAATTGGGAGCATGGGGACCTTGAGAGAGTGTTGAAGGGGAGGGGGAGGGACGGAGGGGAGCACAGAAAAATGTAGAGCTCAGTTAAAATCAATTTAAAAAAATCGACACTTACACCCTATATGCATAGAAACTCCTGGTTTAGATTTAAAGTCGGTTTGACCAACAGTGTCAGGTATCCATCTTTGAGTTATCCCCCGTGTTCTGAGGAATGGTGATCCAGCTCACCTACTGAACTTGTGAAGTAAGAATAGCAAAAGGGAAAGGAGTAGAGGACTCATCCTGTCCATCCATCATCCATCCAGCTTAGGTTTCCATCAAGGTCAAAACACCCTGCCACTGAAGTCACCTTGTCCCCACATTTTCTCAACAGAAAATCTGTATTGTCATTATTCAGAGGGAGAGCTGGGGGAGGGCTGAAGGAGGGTACCAGTACAGATGCAGGCATGTCTCAGAGCTTCAGCAACTCTGACTCTGGGAACTAGCACTTGGTGGTTCCTACTGCTGCCCTCCCTCATCCTGCTCCATCACATGCCTGTACTGAGAGGATGTCATGCAGGTCCCCATTAGCCTGCTTGAGAAGAGACTGGGAGCACAGGGTGGAAGATAAGCTTTTACTCCAGGAAAACTCCTAACCACAAACTCTTCGCTGTCCCCACAGAGTCTGTTTAAACTCGATTTACAAGGAGACACCAAAGAGGTAAGGACTTTTTAAGGTTTGGAGTCTAATGGTGTCAGGCTGTGATTGAAAGAATTTTTGTTTGCAAAACCACAGCTCTCTCTTATGTGTATGTATTGTTGAGACCTAGAGAAACAAAAAAAAAAAAAGGGTTAACAAAGCCAAGAGAATCAAAGACAGGGTTGGCACTATTCCTCTGACTGCTGATTCAGTGCTCCCAATCAGCAACCATGTGTCTTTCAATTACAATTCTCACTCTAAAATGACCTATTAAAAGAGGCTGCATGGCCAGACGGCTAAGTTGTCTAACTAAAGGTCATGGAAGCCATTGGTGAAGAGCACAAGCATCTGAGAAGAATCACAAGCTATGCCAGGCCAAGGTGCCACACCCTCTTTCTTGTAGCCAGAAAACTGTAGTAGTGACGTCCGTATTCTCCCCATCTTCTCAGTTCCCGTCAGCAGCCAGGGTCTAATGACATTAACTGTGCTGAATTACAGCCAAGTTCTCCAGTCCCTCCATCAGATCCTATGGTACCCCTTAATCTAGGGAGAAATTGTTGCTTTCTATTTTAGTTTAAGCTTAAGGAACAAAGCAAACTTTTAAGTGTCTTACAGTCCTGGTGGGGCAATAGACCCAGTTATAAAGCATATCCTAATATATTTTATATACATATATATCAAAATTATATAGCTTAATAAGAAGTGATCTTCATGATCATCTATAGATAAATGAATCCATAAGACTGAGATACAATCATGAGATTATATATACATGTCACATGAAATTAGTGCCAGTATTGGGGAGATACCACAGGTATTTTTGCTCATGTGAAATTACAAACAAGATCAACAACTTACAGAGTCAGTGGTCAGTGGTCCTGTTAGCCTTACCTGAACGGGATTCTCCTTCTTCAGAGATTGCTTCATCTAGAGAGTTGACATTTGAATTATTAGTTTCTTTAAGCCGTATGTGCATCATGGCCCATGTGACAGTGGTTTGGGGGATGAAGCAGAACAATGTCTGTCCTACTCAAAGAATTCCATCCTCTTGGGGCAAGGCGTGATAAAATAAATTAGCAAACGATGTTATGTCTAGTTGCAATCAGAGTAAACGTAAAGAGAAAGTGGGACAGAGTTAGAGGAAAGGAAGAGGGACACAGGAAAGAGACTGGGAGGGACATTGCAATCTACCTTAAGAGGACACTCTCCTTACCTGAACCCTTACTTCACTCTACTTCCTAAAGGATCCACCACATCTCCCTGGTAGTACAGGCTGGAGACCAAGCCTACAACACATTGGTCTTTAGGGACACATAAGATCCAAAGTACAGCGCCTCTGTTGAATTATCATTCAAAAATTAACTGGAAATAGGATGTGTAGGTATGTCACTCTGTGACTGCCCTTCTCTCCAACCTTGCTTTAGGACATTCATTCCTTCAAGCTAGAAATCGGACAGTCCTGAATTTAGCCCCAAACGGCAACATCTCTGTTCTTGGCTCATGGTACTTTCCATTGGAATATGATGTTCTTGCCCATGAAGTCAGTGTTGGATCAACAACACAGTACACCTAAATGATGGAGAAGAGATCTGCCTGTTTTCTAGTTTGATCATTTTGGGAAATGGTCATAGGATACCTAAGTACATGATAAAATTGTGGAGAAGATAGTAAAGCATCTACACTTGTGGCTCCCACATAGTTAGCATCCACATAACGCTAATAAACTGCAACAGAACTATGAAACTGCAGCTGAAGAAAGTTAGTGTCTCATTACCAAGGGTTGAGAAAGTAGCAAACCTGCTCAGATGGTGTTTAATTATATTATAAATAAATCTTAGATATACTAATTATTTTTGAGAAAACAATGTTAGATAATGTGTCTTTAAGCTGGAACCCATATATAAGAATGATGACAATATTGTTACCAGTGGTTCCTAATCTAGTATTTCATTGCAACAAAGCCCCAGGATTCACTAAACCAGCATTCGGGGAAACGTTATAGACCTAACTACTAGGAATAGTGAAAATAAATTCTAGAGAATATGTATGATTGAAATATTATATATATATATGCTTATGACTGTATGAAGTATTTCATATACAATGCATATTTAATAAAAATGCTTCCCCCCCTTCACTTTCCTGTTTCCATTAACCTCGTCATTCACAAATGCCAAACTTTGGTCTTTGTGGCTTACAGACCTTTTAAGGACACCGATTTCTGTGGCTACTGCTCACAGACATGGGGTCTATGTTCCAGCTGCCCCTTAGACCAGCAGAGCAGGAGGAGATGCAGGTGATCTTTGACACTATGCTCCTCTCTTCCTCAGAGAAATACATTTTTACCAACTGTGCTTGATGGAGTGGTGCTGCCAAAGGCACCAGAAGAGATCCTGGCCAAGAAGAATTTCAACACTGTGCCCTACATTGTGGGAATCAACAAGCAAGAGTTTGGCTGGCTTCTGCCAACAGTGAGTGAGCATAAACAGACCCCTTCAACAGATGCTCCTCCACCCACCTGCTATCATGCCTCCACTCTGTACTTCCTACGAATTCTGTATTTAAGCTTTGCCTTGTATCTGGGCAGCTGTTTCCATTGCTATTGTGTATTTATGCAAGGGAACAGTCTCTGGCATGGCTCAACTGAGATGCCCAGGCTTGAGAACTCTATATCAATTATTTCTTGTCTTTTCTCAATGCATTCTAAAGTTCTTGGGCTGGGTGGGAGTCTGTTGGCATAACCGTCGCATAACCTGATTAACTAAGGTCCAGCGGAAAGTGGAGGAGGATTGGGAGTCCAGGAGAATCGGCCTGTGGCACAGATGCCTCCATCCTGTGCTTTTCCTCTCTGGTTCTCTGGATCTCCACAACAACTCGCAGTGGATGGGTTTCCTGGTTCAGGACTCACAACGGCTTAACATTTTCTTCTTTTTGTAACAGATGATGGGATTTCCACAAACTGATGTAAAATGGGACAAGAAGATGGCCATCGCATTCCTGCAGAAATTAACTCCCCATTTGGTAAGCATCTAGAGATTTGTGGCCCATTGGCTAAGAAGTTTTGAGGAATTGGCTCAAATTAAGGATCAATTCAATGTCTCTCACAGCATCACCCAGGAAGGATTTGCACAGGTCATAGGAAGGTCAGACTCAATGAAACTTCAATTGGTTGGACAGGCTGCTGATCGCTTGTGTCGTTCATTTCAGGGAATACATGAGGATGCAATTCCAGTTGCCTTTGAGAAGTATGTAAGAGGTAGCAATGAGCCAGACAAAATTAGAGACGGAATCTTGGAGTTCATTGGAGATGTGACATTTTGTATCCCATCAGTGATTGCGGCTCGTGGTCACAGAGGTGAGTCCCAGAAGTTGAAGGGGAGAGAGACAAGATTCTCCTGCTTTGGTCCCTAACCTGCACACTTCTTAGGATAGACAGATGTGGGAACTTCTCATGGTCAGTGTGCAAAGTCTTATTCAGTGAAGTTTCTGTTCAGTTTTGCTTTCCAGATGACAGGCTCTGAGGAAGAGGTGTAAATGCAGGTGGTTAATTTGGTAGTTGATACCGGGATGTGAGGGCTGTCGCAGGAGAGAGATGAAGGGCAATCAATGAAGCACTGTCATGTCGTGTCCACTGCGGACAGCTGGAACTGTGGAATCTTTCGGGAAGAATCGTATGTCAGGTCTCAGGATTGTCCCAGCAGAACAGGAAGGGAGGGTATTTACCTTTAACTTGTTAGTTAAAGGGTTTGTGCTTGACCTGTCGCACACATGGGTAGAGTAGTTTATAGTGACCAGAGTAAGCTTTGGAGCAAAGAGTAAGCAGTGCTGGAGGTAGAACTCAGGCTTCCTTGCTCTGACATGGGTACCAGCAAGACTGGAGCACACCTGCTGATACATGGGATAGGAGGCAAACGTCATAGTCTTAAGTTGTTTCTAAACTCCATAACTAGACAGAGGAGCCATGAGACAGTATTAGTTAGGTGAGGAGGTTTGCTCAGGGCAGAGAGGGCAGGAGGAGTTTGGTAGTGGGTATGCAGCATGGGAGTTCTTACTCAGTTTGTTGTCGTTGTGACGAAATACCTGATGTGAACGTTGCCAGAGAGGGCAGACATATTTGTATTGTTTAACTGTGCCGTGAGCCAACTCCACTGCTGTATCCCTGGTGTGAGGCTGAGCATCATTCTGGGGAGCATGGTGGAGCAAACTAGGTCTCCTTATGGCACATAAGGAGCAAAGAGGAAGAGAGATGCAGCAAGCGGTCAGGAAAGAGAATCCCAAGGATCCACCCCCAGCAGCCTAGTCTCTGTGGGGTGACCCCCCCCGCCCAACATCCTCACCTTTTAAAACAGCACTGTCAGCTGGAGAACTCCTATGGAGCTTTATTTTAGTCTGAAGTTAGATAGTGGATTGGTGCTTTGTTTTGTTTGACCAATAACTTTCTTTCTTGATTCAGGTGTATGTGTGTATGTGGGTGTATGTGTGTATGTGCGTGTATGTTTGTGTGTCGTCTGTGTCTGTGCCTCTCTGTGTGTCGTTTGGTTCCAAATGATTTGAAATGGTTCTATTTTTTTCTAGCTATATGAGAAATTATATTGGAGTTATTTCATTGGGTACTAAAGTGAACTGGTAGGATGCTTCGGGTAATACAGGCATTTTGACAGTTAAAATTTTTCTAAGCCATGAACATGAAATATTTTCATTTAATTGTAGCTAATTTATTTCATTGATTTCTTATAGCTTTTGTTGTATAGGAAAAATGGAACTATTTCAATTTATTTCTATGGAAATTGTGGTTTTTGAAGCTAGTACAAATGAAACTGTTCTCCTGGTTTATGTTTTAGAGCTTTCTTTGGGGGCGTATTAATACTACTGATTTTTTTTTGCTTATTTTTATTCTGTAATACTATCCTATTTATTTATTATATCTCAGTTCCTTGGTAATCTCAGTGCTTTTATCTGTAGGTTCATTCTTTCCAGGAATATCTTACCATACCCCATTTTTCTGTTTGAACCACAAGTCTAATAGTTGGATTTGGTTTGTTTGTATTCTGTTGATTAGTTTTCCATCAGTGTTTATGAAGAACATTGGTGCAAACAATTGCACTACTCGATGAATATAAGCATCTGCAAGACAATTTGACAACAATCCTCTTTAGAAAAAAAATGAGGAGAAAAACCAGTAATAAATTCTCCCCAGAGTTCCCTGATTTCATCTGTGCTGTTTTGACCAGATTAATAGTGGCAGAAATGAATTCTCTCTCTTGTGGAACAAGTCTCCAGTCCAATCAGAGAGCTAAATAGCCCTATAAGCACTATTGCACCATCGAGCACATCTTGCCTGGAAGGCCAATATCATAGCTTTTAGAATTTTCTGCTAGCATAATTCACAATAGCCAGAACTTGGAAATAACCTAGATGCCCTTCAATAAGTATGGATAAAGAAAATGTACATTTACACAATGGAATACTACTCAGCAGCAAAAAAAAAATCAATGACCACATGAAATTTGCAGGCAAATGGATGGAAATAGAAAGAATCATTCTGAGTGAGGTAACCCAGACTCAGAAAGCCATGGTATGTACTTACTCATAAGTGGGTATTAGATGTAAAGCAAAGGATAATAAGACTACAATCTACAATCCCAGAGAAGCTAGGTGACGGGGCTTCTTCAGAGTCTCAAGAGACACAGCAAATAAGAGGCAGAGAGACCACAAGGACAGATAATGGGGAAGTCCCATTCTGTTCTTGTATGCAATCTTTATTGCCCTAAGATCATTTGATCTATATTCTATGTATTTAGATGTTACGATATTAGGTGTATACATATATATTTACAAGTGTTATTCCCTCTTGATAAATTGACCAATTCATTCAACATACAAGCCTTTATTTCTCTACTTTTACAGTTTTAGCTTGAACTTTATCATCTCATATAACCATAGCTACTTCTTTTCTCTGTTAGTTTTTATGTGTATATAATATCTCTTCCTGTTCCTCACCTTCAAAAGATATAAGACTTTATTTAAAAGTGAGAAAAAGTCTCTGCCTTTCTTAGGAGAGTAAAATCTATTTATGTTGGAGGGCATTATTAACAGGGAAAAACTCAATATTGTTTTTTCTTAGGATTTGCTGCTGATGTTACCCAAGTCCTTGATTTGTTTCTCCCTTTCTGGCTGCCCTCCCTTGTGGCTTGATGGTTGTCCATGGTGGAAGGCTTTCTGTCCTTTCTGCTTTTGTTCGCTGCCTCTTCTTTATTGAAAATAGATTCTTCTCTCATATATTACATCCTCATCACAGTTCTTCTCCCTCTCGTCCTCTCAGATCCCCCCACACCTTCCTTCTCCTCCAGAGCCACACCCTGTCCACTTTCCTTCAGAAAAGAGTAGGCCTCCAAGAGATAGCAACCAATCAGGACAAAACAAGATACAATAAGACAAGACAGAAGCCCTCATGATGAGGCTGGACAAAGAAAACCAATGGGAGGAAAAGGGTGCAAAGAGCAACAAAAGAGTCAAAGACACACCTGCTCCTGCTATTAGAACTCCCACAAAACACCAAGCTAGCCTATTATCATCAACACTTAATAGTGTATTTGCCAGGTTTATTGTATACATTCATTATAGTTGCATTAACGTGAGACTCAAACACTATTTTTATTTCTACTAAATTGCAAATATAAGCAAATCAAGTAGCTTTCCTGAAGATCATTTTCTCATGTGCTTATGACTAGGCATCCTTCAAAGGTATGAAGAGCCTTAATTCTATCTGGGTATATGTCAAATAATATGAACTTTTATAAATCCATTTCTTCACAGATACTGGTGCTCCAACCTACATGTATGAGTTTCAGTACCGCCCAAGCTTCTCATCACACATGAGACCCAAGAACGTAGTCGGAGATCATGGAGATGAAGTCTACTCTGTTTGGGGTGCCCCCATTTTAAGAGGTAATGGCTCATAGCTGGTATGAAGGTAGAATCAAGAGGTCTGGGCTCCAGTCTTGGTTTGGCAGCCTTAAGCAAGTTTCTCCAGTCTTGATCCTAATTTCTTAATTCAGTATAATGGGGGTGAGGTACACATGAATGTAACCAGTCTTTCTCCTGACCTAACATACATTAAGGAGGATATATTAACGTGCCCCCAACATAACTGCTCTCACACTCCTGATGATTGACAATAGAAAAAGATGTTGTCTATCATACATAGTAAGCCACTTGATGACAAGAAGGCTACTTCTTGATTTTATACTCAAAATAACATATCAAAACATGACTGACTGGAGGTGAGGTCAGACTTGGTGCTAACTGTGTATCAAATTCACATGTATTGGTATGACCACCAATCTCTGCAGATACTTAAAACACATGTATTTTTGTTAATACTATAGTTAATATTACAATATCAGGCTATGACATGGTTAATGTTTGAGAAAAACATTCCTAAACCTTCTACTTTCAAAAATCGCATGTGGCCCCTAATCCGCCTCATAACACATCAGTGTCTCTGGAAATCTCCCAGTTAAGAAATTTGCATTGTTGTATTTCTCAACCCTCATAAGTTTATAAGACTAAGAAAAGACCTATGAGCCAACAACAATATTATGGGGTAGAGGAAACCAGGGTGTGATCTTTCTACCCTGAGTGAGGGAGAACAAACAGATGAGCATGGAAAATAAAGACAGCTCGTATTGGATGGGCTGCAATTCGCTGCTAAACCCTAGACCAGTTATCCACCTCAGTCTGAAGACCTACATCGGTGAACCAGGATTTCGTAGACCTTAGGTAAGGACTAAGATCCACAGTTCCACCTTTCTAACCCCTGAGTTCTGCTGCTGGCGGGATCAAGAGCTATTCTTTTAGTAGTGACATGCTTTTAACCCCCTCTCTCTGTTTTTATTTCCCACAGGTGGCGCCTCTGAAGAGGAGATCCGTCTCAGCAGGATGGTGATGAAATTCTGGGCCAACTTTGCTCGGAATGGGTGAGGCTGCTGGTGTAAATGGGACTGGGGTGGTGGGCACGATCAGACCTTCAGACACTCAGGAGGAAGGACAGTTTCTAAAGTTTAGTGGTGAACTCAGATCCAATCACTCCAAACCATCGCTCTTGCATTGGTTCTCCTCATCTCTCGCAATGATTGGGAACAGATAATCCACGGATCACTATAGATCTCATTAAGAAAATGCAAGGAATCACAGAGCAGTTTTGACGAATTCTATTCGGTTCTGTTCCTAGGGACCCTAATGGTGAAGGGTTGCCCCACTGGCCAGAGTATGATCTGAAGGAAGGGTACCTGCAGATTGGTGCTACTACTCAGCAAGCCCAGAGACTGAAAGGGGAGGAAGCGACTTTCTGGACTGAGCGCCGGACCAAGAAACAACCCCGGCCAGACCACAGTGAGCTGTGAATGCAAGGCTGCCAGCCTCAGATCAGAGAAGCCAAGATAGAGTTCTTCTAGTAAAAGTGTTTGTTAATCAAAGATGGATCTCGAAGGATCCTGAAGAATTTTGTCATAGGGATAGACAGAAGCCAGGGATGGGAGATGTTTTATACTTTTGGCCTCAATTTGGAGAATAAATGTTCTTTTTTTAAGATCAAATAAGTATATGTGTTTTGGGTTTAAGATAAAAGTATGTACCACACAGAAGGCAGAGGTAGGGGGAGAAAAAGAGAGAGAATTTATGAAAACATGAAAAGATATCCCACAAAGAGGAATCATAAAAACAGTTACCTTGAAAGCAAAAAGAGAAGAAACATGTTGTTGCAGGAAAAAGAAGCTGTGAATATAGGCTTGCTTTTCACCTCCAGCTGGGAGATATCACCCAACATGAAAAAAAAAATGATGCTAAAACTTACTAAAGTGCTAAAGGTGAATTGGGAACTAATATCAGAGGTTGAAAGACACAGGAACTGCATATTAAAGGAGTAATTTATACCAGCTGCAAACTTCTCTATGTACACTGCCAGGGCCTCATGGGGAAAAATCAGATGCATGTTCAAGGCCTTAGAAGTTCATCTCCAGTTGTGTGGCTTACAGCCTTGCTCAGACATGTACTCTGATGAATGAAATCCTTAAACTGCTGGAGAAAACTCAACAAACATTATTTCCTTCAGGGCCCTGGTAAAGGCCTACTGCAGCTTAAGAAATGGACAAAAAAAATATGTGTTAAAAAGTGATTTAAAAAACTGGCCTACTAGAAATTGTTAGTAACCATTACTGCTAGTGATGGACAAATCACCAAGGAATCAGCAGCTTCAATAATCAAGGACACAGTGTTCCCCTGATCTTAAGGCTGAAAACACTCCTAGAGAAGGTGCCCGAACTGGCCTTTCCCTGTAGTCAGAATGATGAATATCTCAAATGTCACTGTAGAACCTTCATCCAGCAACTGGATGGAAACAGAGGCACAGCCCTGCCGCAGAGCACTGGGTTGAGCTTTTAAAGTCCAGTTGAAGAGTGGGAGGAGTGAGAATATGAGCTAAGAGGTCAAAACCATGATGGGGACACCCACTGAAACAGCTTACCATTGCTAATGGGAGCTTATCAACTCCAGCCACACAGGGAAGGAGCCAGCATAGGACCAAACTAGACTCTCTGAATGTGGTGACAATTGTATAACTGGGGCAGACTCCGGGGCCACTGGCAGCGGCACCAGGACTTACCCTACTGCACTTGTTCCTCTCTGTCTTCTCCGCCACAGCATATGAACCGCTCTGCCCCCTCTCCCATCCCCCACCACATGTTTGCTCACCGTGATGGCTCCTGTGGTTTCTTCTGCTCACCCAGGGCAGGTGGCCCCAGGCTGGCTTTTGGGTGCCCATCACCTTCATGTCCGTAATGGTACTGGGCAGAGCATGTTAACTACCTTTCAACAGTTGATGGGTTTCTCTTCCCAGGGTGGGGGGAGGGAACAGACCAAAAGATGGCTGCTTCCCTCCTGTGGCAGGCCTACTCCATTCTTGTAAGAGTTTGAGGAATCATAGGAATTGGTTGAGAAATGAAGGTGAATGTGTCCTCTTAAACACAAACTAATATATAAGCTGAAAAAGTGCTTAGATGCCGGGTTCAGTTCTAGTCTTCTGCTTATTCTACTTTACAAACACCATGGAAAAAAAATCCACATTTTATGGAATTCAAAAATCCCAATAACAACAGGACAAGTTGCTGGGGAAAGATTTCTTCGGAAAGCGAGAAACAAAGTAAGATAAAGGCTATCATCAGCAAAGGCCTGAGCTTCCAAGGCAACAGTTCTCAACTTGTGGGTCGCAGCCCCCCTGGGGATCACATATCAGATATTATGCATGTAAGATTCATAACGCTATGATTTGTAACAGTAGAAAAATACAGTTATGAAGTAGCAATAAAATAATTTTATGATTGGGAGTCACCACAACATGAGGAACTATATAGAAGGGTCACAGAATTAGGAAGATTGAGAACCAATGATAGGGATTGGAGGCATCTGTAGGTAGCTATTCTTATGCAGACTTATGCAGGTAGCAATGACTTGTGAAGACTTATGCAGGCAGCTATCTTTACACAGAATGATATAGGCAGCTATCATTATGTAGACTTATGTAGGTATCTATGGCTTATACAGACTTATGCATGCAGCTATCCTTATGTAGATTTATGCAGGTAGTTACCCTTATGCAGACTTAGCTAGGGCTTATGTAGACTTATGCAGGTTGTTATGAGAAGGTATGGCAGGCAGGGGGCACTGTGGTGATGACAGTTGTGGGTGCTTTGCTCAGACACAGACGTAATGGATCTGCAGGTCACTGGGTGTTTTGTGATTTGTGAAACTAGAGGAAAGTTGTTTAACACCCAATCTTAGTATTCTTGTCTTTCCTCTCCCCTGTATTTTCCAGGTTTATTCTGAAGTTAATTATTAAGATACAAAAGGTATTATTTCACTAGAGCACAGGGAAAAATCCTGAAAATTTGCCTTTCCCCAGATTATCAAAGGAGAGATGCTTTCTATAGGAGGCAAGGAGAGTTGGCGTCCACTGGAGAAGTGTTTAAAGCATTGGCGACTTCTGTGAGAGGGGCCTCTTCTATCTGGCCTTCAAAACTAATGACTTCAAGACAATTAAAAACAAGAGAATCTCTTTGCATTTGGTCTTCTCTGGGTAGCACCAGAAGGATTTGACAGAGTGCTCAAGATCTTCAGGATCAACAAAAGTTTCTTAAGTGGTCCTTAAGTGACTGCAGAAGCTCGATTACTTACCAAGTGAGGTGGTCACTTTCTGGTCCATTTCAGAACATCTCTGAGAACCCGATTCCAGCAGCCTGAGAGGTATTAAAGAGGGACAGATGACCTGGTCCAAAAAAAGGCCTATTGCTGAACTTGATTGCAGATGTGATATTCGGTGTCTCATCAGTCAAGGTATTCTGAGGCCACAGAGGTTGAGTCTCAGGTGTCGGATGGGAGAAAGACACAGGTTCACTTATTGGGTCTCTGACCTGCTCTCTTCTTGGTATAGCCAAGAAATTTGTTGAGAAATCTGGTGAATATCAGGTCTCCAAGACTGATTTCCTATGGTCTGCAATGCCTGTTTTGCTTCTACCTATAAGAGTCCATTAGAAAATACGGTTTATTTTAGAAGGTAATCTCAGAAACAGCCATAGTAAGATGAGCAAGTGACACAAGGAAAAGATGAGGAGGCTATCCAGGCATGCCCACTTTAACTGGCAGTTATAGAGCTCTGGGCAATAACCAGACAAAGGATCTTAGGGTTTTCCTCTCTGCACTGAAAGGGGTCTCTGTATTAACCAGTAGGGGCCACATCTCCCCTGCAAACTGCTTCTCCAAAGGGCTGCAATCTATGGCACCTTCATCTCCTGCAATCACGAGCACAGTTGTTTCCAGTGGCCAGAAAAGAACCTCAGCAAGAGCTCATGATGTCGCATGGTAGCTAATTTGTCAAAGCTGTGACATAAACAATTCTGGGAAGAAAGATTTACTTTAGCTCAGAGCTACAGAGATTTTACTCTGTGGTGGTGGCAGAGTGTGGAGGAAAAACCCGCATCATGGGAAGCAAACAGCAGAGGAACCCACAGTAGGACGTGCATGACTCCACTGACTTGCTTTTACAGACAGAGCCCGTCCCTCACAGTTCCACCACCTGCCCGTATCTGCTCAAGTGTTTCATCCATTGGATGAGTCGTCCCTTAGGTCAGAGCCTTGTGGTCTAGTGGTCTCTAGGAACAACCTTACACACACATCCAGTGCCCTTTAGTAGTCTTCTGGACCAGGCTTTATAGCTTTGTCCAATCAAGTGGACAGCTGAGGTTAACTGCCATGGACACCAAGATTGTCAGGCACAGCTGCTCACTCATGGAGGGTATTATGGTAAATGCAGCTTGAACACAGATGTTGGGAGCACTGAAGAACTTCAAGACCAGCACGAATTTTAAGAACCAACAAGGCAAATGACAGTAGTGATGGGTGTGAGGGGAGGTGTGACAGCTGTTGATGGTGCCTCTGACAGCTCTTTCTGAATTGGTGTGCACCTGGATAGGCAAGCTGAAGCCCCATCGAAGGTCTATCACACATATGAGAAAGAACTCTATTTTAGACAGGACATGACTGGGGTGGGGGGTGAATGCAGCCCAGCAAAGTCATAAACATTCCCAAGAAACTGTGTCTGCCTTGGGAGCCCACTAGAGTGTCCAAACAACATCTGCTTGCTTCAAATGTCCTTGTAGGTACTCGATTAACCACTGTTTTGACGGTTTTTAAATTCCCCTATTCCCCAACTAAAGAATTCAAAAGTTGAATACTTTTGCCCAATCTTCAAACACCAAGGCTTGTACCACTCCGCTTGCAGTTTTTTCCTTTAAAAGCCCGTTACTCTGAAGCCCTTGGCCGTGTAGGTGTGTCCCAGTTAGCTAACTTATAAACAATAAACCCCAGTGTGTTTGCATTGGATACTGGCTCTGTGGTGGTCTTATTTGGGGGTCCTGCGGCATGGGCTCAGCAAGGTATGTTCTACTAATCTCCTGAGGGTTATTCAGTCCAACCAATTAGTTTGACAATCAGCATTAACCATCGTAATTCAGATTCTTTGTCCTTTGACAGGTAAATGTCTGGCAACAATTTTCCAGTATTCTTAGTGACCTCATTGCTGTGTTAGTTTTCTCCTTTGCTGCACAGAGCCCTTGGAGATAATCCTAGGCTCCAATTCTTGCTGCTATTTACTCAGTTGTTGGGAGTGCCAATCAAGAAGTCTTTGTACCAAGTCTTGAATTGTTTATCCTGTTTCCTTCCTGTGGTTAAAACTTTCAGGCATTACATTCCTCCCTGCAATTTTAAGTTGATTTTCATGCAGGGAAGAGGTAGGTATCTAGTTTTAATCTTCAAATCATCTTCAAGTTCCCTTAGCCCCACCTATTGAAAATTGTGTCTTTTCTATAAATTAGCCGATCAGTTGTAGAAGCATGGATTTGTTTCTGGGTTTTCCATTACATTCTGCTGGTTTGGATATTTGTTTTCATGCCAGGACCATCCTGGTTTTGTTACTAGGTTATGCAGTGTGTGTTAAAAACCTGACTTTCTTGTTCCTCTAGCATTACTCTCTCTCTCTCTCTCTCTA